GGGCTGCTGTCCCATGTGACCTGAGAAAGGAGAGGATACTGTGTGGGATCCATTTAAATGGAGGAAAATCTAAGTGGGGAATTCTGTAGAAAATCACAGAGAAATCAGCTTTTTAGGTCTTTAGATGAAGAAAAATCACTGAGAAATTAACTTTTTAGGTCTTTAGAAGAAGAAAAATCATTGTTGTGTTCAAAGAGCTCAGAAATCTCAGTTTTTCCTGCTGTATGATTATGTTTTCTTGTTATCAAGGGCTAATTAGTTATGTTTACAGTGAATATACTCACTAGGCTAACTGCATGCTAACTGATAGATGCTAATTTAAATGTTAGGTGTGTTTTTTTTAAATCTTATAATAATAATAATAATAATAATAATAATAATAATAATAATAATAATAATAATAATAATAATAATAATAATAATAATAATAACAATAATAATAATAATAATAACAATAATAATAATAATAATAATAATAATAATAATAATAATAATAATACGAAGGCCTCTGAGAGCTGGAGGCAGCTGTTTCCAGCCCAAACACAAAGAAGAAGAAATTAAAGGGTCAGAAGTTAGAAACAGAGAGCCAGGCCAGGCCTCTGGACCCTTCTGGACCCATCTGGACCCCTCTGGACCACCAGACCCCGTTAGGTCTGGATCAGATCTGGATCAGATCCGGATCCTGGAGGACTACAGGTGGGCAGGCTGCCAGGAGCAGACCTGTCCACTTCTGGGGTCTGAAACGGGCTCAGAGAGGCTTATCCAGGGCCTGGGGCCTGCTAATGCTAACGTTAACGCTAACGCTAATGCTAATGCACCGGTTACTGTGTGGGATCCATTTAAATGGAGGAACATCTGAGAGGGGAATGACTCATTTACAACATTTTAACTCCAAAATCAGAACACGATTGGTGCAAAATGTCTAAAAGCATTTAATAAAAGCAGGAAAAGCTGAGATTTCTGAGCTCTTTGAACACAACAATGAATTTCCTTTACCTAAAGCCCCAAAAAAGCAGATTTTTCTATGAATTTCCTTAATTTAAAGACCAAAAAAAGCTAATT